CTACTACTACTATTATTATTATTATTATTATTATTATTATTATTACTATTGTTGTTGTTGTTATTATTGTTTTATAATTGTTGTTTATAATTTGTACAATTAACCTCCCTATGGTTCGACCCCGGTCTTGCCGGGTTATTTATTACTTCGACACTCCTGCACTTGGGAGAAGACATCAATCTTTTAGTCGTGTCAAGTTTTTGGCGCCGTTGCCGGGGAGGTAAGTTTTTGTCTTTTAGTCGTGTCACACGCATAAAATACAGATCAATCTAAATATGCTCCATTCTGGAGTGATAAACTGGATTAAAGCTGAGATAAGTAGCTTCAAGATTGTCACGTAGCAAAGAAGGTGGAGCTTTGAGTGGAAAGTTAAGTTCACCGAGAAGACTAAACAACCACATTGTTTTAGATGCTGCGTTAGCTAAGGATCTATATTCAGCCTCTATAGATGAAAGTGTAACAACATGTTATTTTTTTAAACTCCAAGAAATGAGATTATGTCCTAGAAAGCTAATAAAAACAAAGGTGAAAGTGTGATCATTGACGTTGCTAGCCCAATCCACATCAAAGTATGTTGTGAGATTCTAGGTGGTAGCCTTTTGGATGTGAATACCATGAAAGATAGTTTGCATCAGATATCAAAGAAGTCATTTAACTATTGTGTAGTGTGTAGTAATTAGCTTATGCATGAATTGAGATAACTTATTGACAGCAAAGGAAATATAAGGATGGGTGAGAAAGAGATATTGAAGACTCCTAAGGACTTGATGAAATTCAGTGCTATCAATAGAGGCAGTGACATCAACTAGTTTTAAGGATATACTAATAGATAGGGGGTGGAGACTTCCTTAGCACCAACCATGCTGGTTTTGGATAACAAGTCACGAATATATTTATATTGGGACAAGAATAAACCTGCAAAGGTGGAGATAACTTCCATGCCTAAAAAATAGTTAAGAGGACCCATATATTTCAAAAAAAAATTGATCACCAAGCTATTAAATAAAAGATTGCACAAGGCTGAAATCATTTCTAGTAAGCACAAGATCATCCATATATACCAACATATAACACATAACAGAGCTATGGTGATAAATAAACAAAGAGGAATCAGACTTAGAATTAAGAAAGCCAAGTTGAATAAGAACATGCTTGAGAGTTGAATACCATGCCCGAAAAAGGCTTATTAAAGCCTATAAATAACTTTACGCAGCTTACATATATGATGAGGTTTCGTCTAATCCTTAAACCTTACAGGTTGACTCATTTATACAATCTCAATAAGGTGACTATGCAGAAAGACATTGTTAACATCCATGTGCCTTAAGGTAAAAACTTGCATGACAGC